ACATAGAAGCTGGACTGATCATGCTGGACTAAGACACAGTTTACTAAAGTGCGGCTTATAATTTGCCAACCACAACGACGGGCTTCTTGCAAGATGCTGAGCCCAAATCAAACAAACCACATTATGGCTTCGTGCCACAGTAAACCATAGTTAAAAGAACTTAGAATTCATAATTTTAAGCCGTATTTTCAGATTAGAGCTTGGTGCTAAAAAAAAAAATAATAAAACCACGCTCTGTTGCTTAGATGGATTCTCTCTGAGCTTTTAGACTTAAGCAACATGCTTAAGAAACAGAAAAAAGAACAATTCTAGCAGCCTTGTGATGAAAGACAGGATTATTTAGGATTTATTATTCCTATCTCAGACAGATGAGAAAATGGATCATTTATTTACCACCCAAGGTTCCTTTGGGTAGTTGGGCGGCTATATAAATTTGCCCACTAAATCAATAAATATATTTAAGGTCATCTAAGCCTGCCTGGCTGCCGGGCACTATGAGAAAAGATTGCTGGACTAGACAGGCCAGAGCAGTGTTTCTCAACCTTGGCAACTTTAAGCTGAATGGACTTCAACTCCCAGAATTCCCCAGCCAGCCATGGGGAAGTCCATTCAGCTTAAAGTTGCCAAGGTTGAGAACACTGGGCCAGAGGTCTGATCCAGCAAGGCACAGTTTATGTTCTTATGTTCCTTCCCCAATGAAGCAGTCCTCATTTGGTCGAGGAATGGTGGCGCGCTAGTCCGACCCTGCATCCCATTGCACAGGGCTCCACTCGAATCTGAATGGTCAGGCTTCCCCCCCTCAACCCCCATCTTTCTGGCTTCCCCATTTTTTTCCAGTCCTTTGGCGAAGGAGAATACCGGGCAAAGCTTCTCACCTCCATCTTTGTTTGGATCCAGGGCCCCACAATATTGGCTTGGCTGGCAAACTGTCGGCGCAAACGTTCGTTGGACTGCTGCTTGCTCTGCTCATCCTGAAGGGCGCTGTCTCTCTTGGGCACAAGCTGCTGGACCTGTCGCATGAAAAGGGAGAGAGCCACCGTTGAGCACAACGCTTCTGGGCTTCCTCCAGCTCAGGGAGGCCAAGAGTTGCAGCCGAGGCGGGCACGCTCTTTGTCTTCAGCTCCACCCGCTGAGTGTGCATGCAAGACAGTCCACGGAGCGCAGCCACACGCACCTTTTCCCACTTGGAGTTGATGATCTGAGGAGTGACCGAAGTGTAGGGGTTGTTCCCAGAGAGTTTTATGTTGTTGTAGTCGGCGATCCTCTGTGCTTCGCTCTGAATGCCCAAGATGGCTTCTCGTTCTTTGTCGGCATCAGGCAACGTGGATTTGAACTGATCGTGGGCAGCAATCAAGCCCTGGAAGGGAAGGACAATCCAAGCAGGGTTGGCAAGACCAGGCCAATTTCACCCAAGCCCCACACCCAGCAAGGTACCAGCGGGGTTCCCATGTTCATCCCTGCTGTCTTGAAATATCAATTTGTCTTGGTGGGAAGCTCAAAGTCCCACAAAGCAAGTCAGGTTTCTTCCATTTGCAATGGGACAAAGTGGGAGGGGAAAATAGGAATTCCACCTGGAATTCTGGTGGGAATTTTCCTCCCAAACGTTCTGGGATGGGACGGAAGCCAGCTAGAAAAACTCCCATCTGGAGCTGGAGTTTGCACTGATTGTCTTACAAGTGGCTGAACGTTCTCATACTTTTTTTAAAAATCAAAAGCCTGGCATCATTACGTAAGTGTACCCTCTTTGAAGGGCACCAGCTTCTATTCCGGCATTTTCTGGCTCTGCAATCTTTACCTTCCAAGAATCTGAAGCTCATATACTTGAGGCCTTTCAATTAATGTCTCTCTGTCTGTCTGTCTATCAATCTATCTGCCTTCCTCCAGCCCCCTTGTGAAAACATGTAACATAACAAATGCGTGACATAACCTAACTTATTTTAACACATTATTTTTAACCTTTGCACGCTCTCCCTCAAAACCAGGCCCTGGATCTGATGCAGCAAATTATGACGGGTTTTTAATTTAAAAAAACTAGGCCAGAAATTCATTGGATCAGACAGCAGAC